GTGGATCACAAGCTAAACAGGGTAATGATCTTGCAAAAAAAGCAAACATAATTCTGGGATGTATTAGCAGGAGTGTTGTAAGCAAGACACAAGAAGTAATTCTACCGCTCTACTCCGTGCTGATTAGGCCTCAACTGGAGTATTGTGTCCAGTTCTGAGCACCGCATTTCAGGAAAGATGTGGACAAATTGGAGAGAGTCCAGAGAAGCAGGGCCGGCGCAACCCATTAGGCGACCTAGGCAGTCACCTAGTGCGCTACAATTTGGGGGGCGGCAACCACGGCGGTATTTCAGCAGCGGGACCTTCCGCTGCCTCTGTGGGGGGCGGCATTTTGGGGTGGGACCTTCCGCCGCCTAGGGCGGCAGAAAAGCTGGCAGCGCTCTTGCAGAGAAGAGCAACAAAAATGATTAAAGGTCTAGAAAACATGAGCTATGAGGGAAGATTGAAAAAATTGGGTTTGTTTAGTCTGGAGCAGAGAAGACAGGGGATATGAGAACAGTTTTAAAGTACATGAAAGGTTGTTACAAGGAGGAAGGTGGAAAATTGTTCTTCTTAATCTCTGAGGACAGGACAAGAAGCAATGGTCTTAAATTGCAGCAAAGGAAGTTTAGGTTGGACATTAGGAAAAACTTACGAACTGTCAGGGTGGTGAAGCACTGGAATAAATTGACTAGGGAGGTTGTGGAATCTCCATCATTGGGGATTTTTAAGAGCAGGTTGGACAAACCCCTGTCAGGGATGGTCTAGATAATACTTAGTCCTGCCTTGAGTGCAGGGAACTGGACTGGATGGACTCTCGAAGGTCCTTTCCAGTTCTGTGATTATTTCTCCCTATATAAGCTCACAATTTTGATGCCACTTCTCCATAGAGAAACCCACCATGATGACACCGTATTTCTCCTTAGAGAAACCATCCCTTGTTGTGGTACGATAGCTCTCCATAGAGAAGCTGCCCTCCCATATATCATATTGCCCCATATAGAAGCCCACCATTAAGCTAATGTATTTCCCTGTATAGAATCTCCCCAATGCATGGTTCAGCAGTGTCACACTTAGAGAGCCCTACTCAACATATTTACCAGAACGTTTTAAAAACTCTGTCATTTTATATGCATTATATTTTTGTCCCAGTTATTACAGTAGCATCTAGAGACCACACGCAGGCTGCTGGTGCCACTTTAGTCTGCCCCCAGGCTTCGTGCTACCCACCACATGCATCCTTGGTAGATTAGCAATAGCAAGATTGCTAGTGGGCTTTGCAGAGAAGCTGTACATTTAGCCCCTGTCCATGTTCCAGAAGGGCGCACAGCCCCCGGTCAACCTTAAATCCACATACAAAGGTTTGGGACTGTTAATAGAGTCCCTGGCTGTACCCCTTTTTCCCCCCAGTGATGTACTCTAGCCATTCTCCCATCGAGCCCAGGATTTTCATGCGTCTGTCATCACCCCAGCTTCTGGGCTTTTTTGAATGCTAATTGTTTTAAAGGTTGATTTGTCTCTTGCTGCTGGTGGGGTTTATTAGGTGGGGGGGGGCTAGTGCTGGGGTGCAGTAGGGTGACCAGATGTCCCAGTATTAACAGGACCACACCACTATTAGGGGCTTTTCTTATATAAGACAACCTATAAACCTCACCACCACCGGCCTGATTTTTCACACTTGCTAGCTGGTCACCCTCTGCACAAGTGTCAGTCTTGGGGGGGGGGGGGGAAGCTTTGAAGACAAAGTTTTCCCAGCATTTCCTAACACCATCCGACAGTGGCTGGGCCTGCTCTCCTTTGGAGATTTGCCTCAAGCCAGATTCCCCACCACCAAACAGCTCAAGCCTGCTTCTGCCCACTAATGACTCCAGCTCAGGAAAGCATCTGCAATGAAGCCAGAAGTGCTTTCCTGCACAGGGACCTTCACGGCAGGCTCTAGGACAGAGGTGGGCAAACTACGGCCCCCAGGCCACATCCGGCCTGCGGTGCTGACCTGCCCGGCCCCTGAGCTCCTGGCTGGCCCCGGCCCCTGAGCTCCTGGCCGGCCCCGGCCCCTCCCCCTCCCCCCGCAGCCTCAGCTCGCCATGCCGGCAGCGCGGCGGCATGGCTGGCTTTCGACGGGCGGCACGGCTCATGGGCAGATTTACCACTGAACACAGGGTACCCTGGCATGGGTCCCCACACCCCCCAAGAACAGGAGGCCCCAGGGCTGGGCACTCAGGCAGTTCCGCTCCAGCACACCCCCCGTGGGGGAGAGGGGCTGCACTGCAGGGGCACCGGAGCAGGCGGGTGGTGCGGG